AATGCGAGTTCTACGCAGACTAGTGCGTGTTTGGGTTAGTCTGAAAATGGAAACTTTTAGGAGTTGGTGGTGTTTAATTAACTATGGGTTACTTCTTTGCCTTTAAATGGAATATTTTTTTCTCTTTTTACTCATTTTACAAGCTAGGAAGTGATCAGTATGGTGGAAGTTATTGAAATTAAGTGTATCCCAAAAGGTTTGTCATTGATGGTTGAATTGCCCGTTGGCCAAAATGTGGAATGTTGTGTTTCTTAACTAGTGATTGCAGTCACACCCTGTGGTGGAGTGTGTTTGAAAGCTGCCTATTTGATTGCAAACATAAGTGGGGCATGTACCAGTACTACTAAAATGCCCATTCCAGAAACTAGGCCTCTCTTTCATTTTGTCCTTTACCGTGCCACAAGGGCAGTTGAGGTTCTACCTTAGTCTCTGTAGTGTGAAATGACAGAACAATTGTCACTTTATATTTCAATTACCTTTCCCAAGTATCATAAGGTGTTGTCTTTTTCAGGTGACGATCATTTTGCATCAGATACATGTATGTTTTAACCCATTGAGCAAAAGTAAGTTAGAACAGTCATGCAAAGAGATAATGGTACCGGAAGCCCATCAACCCCAAGGTCCCCAACTGCTCGACTTCGGCATCGTAGACGCTCAGCTGAGGTTTGTTAACTTGGATACTTCGTTATATTTTTTCATTCTAATGGAATGGAACGTATAGTTTCATTTAGTATGAATCTATTCTTTCTCTAATAATTATTTGGGACAAAATGAATTTGTCTAGAAGTTTAATTAGTGGATAGAGAGGCCACATATAATTTTCACCTAAATTTTTTTTCTTATTTTTTCCTGATTTTGTAACTAATCATGTGCTTGTTCTTAAATTAGGGGCTTAAATAGTTATACAATAACGTGCATTTGTTTTGAGCCCTTTTGGAACAAAAAATACAGAAAAAGAAACCATTTGCTGTATTAGATGTACATGCTTGAGATTAATTGGGTAATACATAGTCATTTTATTTTCTTTATGGCTGCAGGCTCTCCCGGATGTTGGTAAAACAAATGGAGGCAATTTACTTGTTAATGACCGTAATAAATACAGGTCAATGTTGATTCGTGCATACTCTTCTGTTTGGATGATCGGAGGGTTTGCACTGATTATATATCTGGGCCATCTCTGTATCACTGCCATGGTGGTGGTTATCCAAATCTTTATGGCAAAGGAGCTGTTCAATCTACTCAGGAAAGCTCATGAAGATAGGCACCTCCCAGGATTCAGGCTGTTAAATTGGTCAGAATAGTAGTATTTAGTTGTGTCTAGTGTGTTTTATTCCTCAGAAAGCAGTACATATGTTTTTTTATATGTGTTACTAAAATATTATTCGATTTCAAATTTTCTGCTCAGGCACTTTTTCTTCACTGCAATGCTGTTTGTTTACGGTCGCATACTCAGTCAACGGCTTGTCAACACTGTAACTTCAGATAAATTTTTATATCAGCTTGTGAGCAGTCTTATCAAGTATCATATGGTCGTCTGTTATTTCTTGTACATCGCAGGTTAGTTACACATGTTATGTTTGTTTTTATATAAAGTACTTCACTGCATAGCATATTTTGAATTGAAGTGAAATTAGCATTTCGCTGGGCTTGCCTCTTTTTGATCATCATCCAACTATATATTTGATATGCACAATGACTTTATTGTTTGTGAATTTTCGTTTTGTTGGTGTTTTTCCTTTGCCCTCTTTTATTTTTATGTAGCCCAATTCTGATACTGATATTATTCCTTTCCCCAAAATTGGGTTCAGGTTTTATGTGGTTCATTCTTACATTGAAGAAGAAGATGTACAAGTATCAATTTGGCCAGTATGCATGGACGCACATGATTCTAATTACAGTGTTTACACAGTCATCTTTCTTTGTAGCCAACATTTTTGAAGGAATTTTCTGGTAATTTAAGTTTCTGAAGGAACAACATTTTTGAAAACACACATTACCTTTTCTTTTTTTTTATTGCTTTCCCTGACGCAAAGGAAAATTTGATGCAGGTTTCTTCTTCCAGCATCACTTATAGTAATCAATGACATTGCTGCTTATATCTGCGGTTTCTTCTTTGGAAAAACCCCTTTGATCAAGATATCTCCAAAGAAAACTTGGGAGGGATTCATTGGAGCATCTATTACAACTATAATATCGGCATTTTTGGTGAGCTTGTTATTTAACTTGGTGATAATAAATAGACTTCAGTTTTTCTTACATAAAATTGAAACCATAGTTTCAGTTATATTGGGGTTGTAGCCCATTCTTTAAGGTATGTGCCAAGGGTAATGTCCAACACGGATCTAGCATGATAACATTTTATAGGTCTTATCCTCCAATAAAATAATGTTTTGATTTGACTGGGAGTACCACGATAATTGGTCACAGTACATCTCAACTTATTGCGATGTGTGTTTTGCCAATTCTTTTTTACTGTTGCAACACCCACATCACACCACTCATAGGACGTGTTTAAAAGGCTTTCCCGAGTGACTTATCAAACCTAAAGTTTTCCCTTTTTGAATTCAAAATTAACTTGTACACCCTAAGTTTCTGGTTGCATGCTTGAACCAAATGTACGATGTTCCTGGGATGTATACACATTCACTATAAGCTCCACGAGAGTTGATAATCTTCTTGTTATATCAATTTGAGTTATATGAACATGGTATGTACTTTTGTATGTGCAGCTTGCAAATATCATGGGTCGTTTCCAGTGGCTAACATGTCCGAGAAAGGTAATAATTTTGATGAAATATAAGCCAATTGATTTTGGGAAAGTAATAGAGTTTCAGTTATAGTAGCTTATATGTTGATACACTTGCAGGATTTATCAACTGGTTGGCTTGATTGTGATCCTGGTCCATTGTTTAAGCCAGAATATTATACCTTTCCAGAATGGCTCCCACCATGGGTGAGTGAAGTGACATTTATTGATTCTGTAATTACATGAAACTAGACCAGTTTGTGTATTAGTAGTAAACCATGGTCCGTGGTATTTCTTTGAATTGAGTTCTTTGTGCTAGAGATCAGATATTTGACTTGTTTTTCACTTTTTCATGGTGAAAGAAAATGCTCATATCCCATATAACATGCATCTGCATTTATGCTTTTTGTATATAATAATTAGTATCTACAGTATGTGCTTTGTCCTCTTATTCTGATAAGGTATTTGTATCCGACCAGGCACATGTATTTCTTGAGATTGCGCAGCATCCGGGAGCTATTTGTGTTTCCTTGTCTGGTGTAGATGAATAATAATGATGTTCTCAAGTGGAACTTGTTCTTTTTTCCCTTGCACGTTGATAACATTTGGGCTAAGACTGCTGTTGTACAATGCTATTCGTTGTCGTCTGTTCTGAAGCTTGCCATATAATTAATCTAATAGTTTATTCTGTCTGTTATTCTGTCTGTGGTTCAGCATATTTTCTCATACTATTAACAATTCGAAGATGAACTCTTAATGCACAGATTCGGTTATATAAAAGCTATGCGTGCAATTGAATTAGGCTATTTCAATCTTGAACTATAAATTCAGATGTTTAATAATAATATTTACTGTCTTTTGTGTTGCAGTTTCCTTGGAAAGGGATCTCGATTTTGCCAGTTCAATGGCATGCTCTATGTCTTGGGTTGTTTTCATCAATAATAGCACCTTTTGGAGGTTTCTTTGCAAGTGGTTTCAAAAGAGCTTTTAAAGTCAAGGTTTGCTTTTAATGTTTTAATTTTGACTGATGCAATTATGTATAGTAAGTAAGTGTCAATTGTTCAACATTATTTTTAATAATTTTTCCCATTTTTTATAGGATTTTGGAGACAGTATCCCTGGGCATGGTGGAATCACAGACAGAATGGATTGCCAGGTAAGTTTTTTTTTTTTTTTTACTAAGATAATAAAAGAGCATTTCAAATTGTTCTTTGGTACTTTGAATGTGGCACTAGTGTATTGTTGCTTCCACTTCCCACATTTATGAAACTACTTGAAGCTGTCTTATGTTGACTCTTTTGTCATTAATAATGGAATTTTAAACGTTTCTTGTATTCTATATTGTGGGGTCTTCTTACCCTTGTGTTTGGCTTCAAACATGGTTCTTTGTCAATGATTTAACTGCTGTCTCCATTTGTGCGCTTCTGTAATTGACATTGTTTTATCTTGCAGATGGTGATGGCTATATTTGCTTACATCTATCATCAGTCGTTTATTGTGCCTCAAAGCCTCTCAGTTGAAATGATCATAGACCAGGTATTGTTTTTACAAGTGTCACGCATAATTTTGTTCTTGGCTTTATTTTGCTAATGAACTAGAAGCAATTCCAATTGCATTGACATTTTTTCTTCTTCTGCAAATATAGATTTTGATGAACCTCACCGTCGAGCAGCAGCAAGTTCTGTTTGAGAGGCTTAAACAAGTGTTACAGGATAGGCTGGTTGGATAATCGTGTGAATAACCTGTATTTGTGTCATCACTCCTCTCCCTTGCATGTTTGTACATGTTAGCACAGAGAGGGAACCAAAAAAAAAAAATTGAATATTTTGTAAATGGTGGTGTTCTGTTTTCGTAGAGCAACCCCATTAGGTTGGAGGCATTCTTCTGTGCGCAAACCCTGTATAGTGTCTCTGTCTTTTAATATACATGAACTCTAGATGGAAGTGACCCTTCTTTTTCTCCTTCCCTCCCTCCCTTTGATGCGCCTTTTGATGGATTGATTATTAGTTTATATGCCCACTGCAAAAATGGGTGTTTTATGACCAACATTGTATTTTGCTTTTTCTAAATTTTGATGGAATTTCGTTTAGAAAGCATATTGGTGTTACGTGTATGCCTTGTCATGTTTCCAAACGTGTCACCCATTTTCTAATTAACCCCTCTTACACAAGAAAAGTAAAAGAATCATTGGAAGTTCCAGAGAACTGAAGGAAGGAAAACCATAGTGGCAAAAGAATCATGTTAAACCATTGAGTGGCAAAAGAATACTTGGATGCTTGTGATGTCCAATCCACTACAATCAAAAATCATGATTTTCTCAATTTCTGTAACAAACACCTGACAGAATCATAGTTTGGCTTTCAAATTGAAAAACAAAAAAAATTAAGCCATCTTGTCTGATACGACAATAAAGAGCTTATAGATATGTTACATGTCCTACTTTTACAACGAAAATTAAGACAATATCCCGTCTAAAAGAATAGAAACAAAACTTCTTGGCCCATCTAGAAAGTGAAACAAATAGATTGTCCCTGTTGTTTGCTTACATTCTGAAACTGTGAAGATGTCTCAAACGAAACTATACGCCTGCCATTTGCTTCAAACATCTCATTGGGTTTTCGGTTTTTCAATCTTCACATAGGGCAAAACCCCCATAAAATGAACTACTTTGGGGCCCCACCCTCGTTGCTGAGCCCGGCAAAACATCAAGAAAGTGTTTGCAAAGTAGGAATTAAAACCCATGAACAAATGCCACAAGGCATGACCTTGCGGGTTAACGGTCCAACTGGATATCTCTTCGCAGAAAACATTATCACAGAGCCAACACAAACTCCCTATTAGAAGGGTGGCAACATACAGCTTTGCAATCCTCTTAGCAGACAAGTCTTGAGTGTATATATAATACTTGTACATTCGAGGAATGCAGAGGAGGCACAAGATCACATAGTGCACCTTAAAGCCAATTTCAAAACGAGCCACAGAATGAACAGCAGCAAAAACAGCACCATAGAGGAAGAGGAAGGTGGGCATTGTACTGCGATAGTGCCAATCTGGGGAGTAGAGGATATACATGTAAAGGAGCATCTCCCAAACCATAGGAGTCTCATCGCTCTGCTGTTGCCTGGAAATATATATCAAACAAATCTTCAGACATCAATTTTCATAGCAAATATTTAGTCAAGAAGAGAAAATTTCATAATAAAGTCTGACAGACTGAGTAACAAATACAACTATGAGGCAGAGAAGTCGTCCGCATAAAGCCTGCATACCTAATGCAGACGTGCATGTGTGCATATGTGTGTGTTCATTCTTCAAGAAAGCTAACACCGATATCATTAGCTACCCAGAATATATTTAATGAAGCATCTCAATAACATGAATTCTTATATGTTTCTCAAACATTACGGATCATTGCAATTTTCCCCAGTCCATAGAAGACTACATTTGCTGCAACTAACCAACTCAACCTAAAACACTTTTGGGTGCATGAATTATACTTATCTACAATATCCATAGAAAATTTATTTATAGAAGAGAGAAGGAAACAATCAAATAAAAATATTTGCGACTCTCAATGTGAAAGTTGTTCGCTTCACATTGGGAGTTACCGCTAAAATGCTTATAATACTCATAAAAGTCTAATATACACATGTCATTCACATTTTCCAATTAAGACTCTTCTATCAACACATCATAGTTATTCTAATTCTAGCTTGAGAATCTGAGTTCAGCCAATGATCCATTCATTTAAATTTCCAGAACAAGTAAACTCAGAATAATACTTACACATGCTGCAACGTGGCATGGTATAACATGCTTCCAATGGCAAGAATCATATTAGATATGTGAAGAATGCTGAATCTCTTCTCAAACCGCTGCCTTAAGACATTTATAAGGCCAATGAGCGCCAAAAGAATGCTTGGGATGTTTGATAAAGTGTTGAAAAATTCCGCAATATAAGAAGAGTAGGCATAATTCTTCTCGCAACATTCAATCGTGGATGTGACAGGACCCCAGAAGCTTGATCCGGCATCAGCCATTCCTCTTTCTATGTTCTGTATATATTGAACCAAGTCTTGTTACTCAGAAAGTTGCAGAGTTCATAAAACCTGCACACCATACACCTGCACAATATAATATTCTAAGCAACCAGGCAGCTTGATTCAAATAATACAAAAAGGAAATAAGAAACATAAGAACACAGTTCGGATAGAGATGGTCTAATAAAATTTACTACAAACAGAATAGTATGGCAAAAACCATGTTCATCAAGCGATGCATATTCAATGAAAGCATGAAATTAATATCCTAAAACCAATCAAAGATTCTAAAAATTGCATTATGCATTAAGTGCACGCAACATTGTAACTGGTTTTAACTGCATAGTTTAACCACACATCTTAAAAACACTTCTTAAATCAAAACAATGGTTACATATTTCATGAACGTTCACATCTCAAAAACTCTCGAGTGCATGATTTAAACATCGATCTATACAACAATATGAAAATAAACCATTGGAATGAAAACCAGCTAATTTCCACACGGTGGGTCTGTTGGAATTATATTCGCAAATAGCCCACACTCCACGAAGGTATAATCAGATCCCACATAGCAAATCCTTAACCCTGATTAGACCAACACCATTATTCTCAGGAACACAAGAAATCCCAGCCATACAAACAATATTCGAAAATAATAAGATCCAATCTAACCATTAAGTAATCTCAGAAAAAATGAAAGCCAAACTCAACCATTACCCATGACCTAGGAATCCATGAACGTGCTCAAAAGCTCGAAAGCCACCAACGAATCGATACAAAAAAAAGAACACAAAAGCCAGATACATGGTATAAGTTAATGTATAATGGAATAGTATATTTATGTGTTGTGCATATAAAGTACCAAAACGCACCGTCTGGGCTGAAAGAGATCTCATTCCTTCTTCTCTGGTAGGCTTGGTGAGTCCGTATGTCTCCCTCTCCAAATTTCAATGAAAGGGATGGCTTGTGGCGGTGAGGAGGCAAGAGGATCAGAATTTCTTTTCGGCGTTCGAGGCAGAAAGAGACCGAGTCTGCTTGTGTTTCTTTTCTTTCTTTTTTCTATTTTTATTCTTTTCCCGTTTTATTTGATTTTTCATTTTTAATGGTTTGGATTATTTTTTACTTCTTGGCCCATCGTTATAGCCTCAAATTTTTGGTCCAAGCTGAAACCCTTGTTAGGTTGGTAAATGGGCTTTAGATTTCAATAAGTCCACTTAACTTGGTTACAATTTGGGCCTAAAAACTATATTATTTTTAGGAACCTTAAAAAAGAAACCCTATACATTTGAATATTTTATTTTATTTTAGGGGAAAACCCTACAGATTTTATTAGTAAAGTTGTAATGAATATTTTAACCTAAAATTACTGATAAAAAGGAATAGGGAATGACAATAGTCAACTCTTATATAGATGTATTGGTAAAATGATGTACTCTTAAGACGAAGCTTCCACATAACAAGTATATTCTCAAGTGAAATGTAACGGATAATTCTCAAATATTGACCCTTCAACTTCGTGAGAAGGTGCTCTTTACAAGTTAGTTTTTAATAATAATGTATTGGAAGCTGAATCAATAACAACGTTTAGAACTCATCCTCAATTTTTTTAAAAAGGTGCTCTTTACAAGTTAGTTTTTAATAATAATGTATTGGAAGCTGAATCAATAACAACGTTTAGAACTCATCCTCAATTTAAAAAATAAAAATAAAAAAGTCCTACTTGAGTATATATATAGAAGGGCCAATGTATGAATGAAAAAGAAAATTATGTATCAAAGATAAGTTTAATAAAGTCATTTATCAAATGCTTCCCACTAATAAAGGGTGACCTTTATATAAAAATACCTTTTTCATTTATAAAAAAACCAAAAGATAGAGGGAATTAGGGCAACATGATAAATGCATCTAGCTCAAAAAACAGTCGTATACACAAACTTAAACATGCATTAACATAACTCATATATCATATATATTTGTCAAATTTGGCGTTCAATGATGAGAGAATGAGACAAATTTCCTTAAAACTTGATATGTACAAGTACCAAATGGAAGTAGTCGGTGGAAGGATTTCTAGCATAATATTTATTTTTTTGTTGGCCATAAATAGACAATGAAATTGACTGATAGTAGACTAGTAGTACCTACGGTCTCTTTTGGTCCAATGGAAATAGATAACCAAGTTGCTTTATATTTATACTAAAAAAAGAAATAAAATATAAAACGCACGTGTTTATCAAACTTTAAAAGTAAGTTTGCCTTGTCAACGAAGGTTGGTTGAGTTGGTAAGGATTGTTCTCTTCGCTATCAAGGGTCTAAATTTACCTTTTTATCTTCATTTGGCAGCTGTTAACAATTTCAACAAGGTCACGGTTTTCTTGATTATTATTGTTGTTGTTTTATTATGTATAAATTAGATTGGTTTGGATTTAGAAAAAGAAGAAGTATTAGGGTTCAATGCATGTAGACATGTTCAGGTTCATTGAACCTGGACATTTCGGAACACCAATAATGTTTTCAGCTTCCGTTTTCCACATTTTCCACATCCAAGATGATAGGATGACGTAGTTGGCAGGCTGGGGCACGTGTGAGAAGACTGTGGCCCACATGCTTGTGTACACTAGGAAGGGCCAAATTTAGCGCATGTCGTTGAGTCCACAAGTCTATACTCTATAGTGAGACATTTAAACAAACTGTGGAGCAGCTAGCGTCAAACGGGTCAACTGCCTGAAATACATTATATGAGTAATGCTACACTTATCGCATTTTTATCCCATATTTTTATATCAAATGATGTGACATGTTTATATCATATGCCATATCAATTAAACGAATGAAGTGTAATTTAATTAATTTTTTATTTTATTTTAAAGTGTTAATAAATCATAAAAGAAAAGAAAAATGTTAAATAAATGTAAATCATCAAATATCCTCATCCATCATTGCCAACTTGAAAACTCTAACTAATAGTAAAACCGAAAAATTATAACCCCTAGGGAACAAACCACCAAGGAAAACAAAGGAAAACTATGTTCTACCTTACTAAACTTAGCATATTCTATTCCATTCTCATGCACAGTTGTTAGTGCGTCATAGGGTTATCTTTTGGTTTGACTCTTATGTATCATGATTAATTTGTGACACTGTAGAAGATTAGTCAAGTTGAGAATCATTAAGAAATTTAATGTGATCAAAGAAATACATTTACCTTGTGGTTTTTTTTTATGTACAACCCAATTGATACTGAAAACGGAATCAAAAAATCTAAATTGAATCTAAATCCTCTATAGATTATAACTTGCTTTGATACCATGTTAAATTTTTCACTAACATCCTCGATAATTTAAGTTGCTATAAGAAATAGCCATCAATGTAGGCTTGCAAAATAGTTAATACAAGTTGTGTACGGGATAAATATAGTTAATCATCATTGTCTCCTAAATCCAATTATTAAATGAAGTCTTTTTCATTAAGTGCAATGCAATTTAATTGGACGTGAAATGGTGACCAAATCAAAATCCAATTAAGTCCTCTGAACTATAGTTAATTTAAACTAATCCTAGGTTTTCCTCATTCGTATTGTATATCGTTTACAAATCCTTGTATGTCACACTATATTCCTCCTCCACAACAAAAGCAATACAGAAAACGGAACGGGGACGTGAAAAGGGGCAGATTCATTTGAAAAGAACGCGATCAAGCCCACATACATCAAACCCCCCCACACGGCCAATGCAAACTTGTATGAGACGTAGTTATAAATAATGCACAGCGGCGTTTAGCTCTTCACATCATGTCATCATCTTCATTCTCCAATTCTGTCTTTTATGTAAACACCATGAACACAATATGACAACACTATAGAGCAACACCCAATTACCTTTTCCCCTCGTTATCTCTATATATATATTTATTAAAAACAAGAAAAAGAAACCCACAAATTGTATCATTCACTTGAAACGTTTTCTCACAAAAGTGAAAGCGGATAGCTGATTGGGAGCTAACCCATTACAGGAAGCAGAGCAAAGCACCCAAAAAGGGGAAGAAGAAAGCAAGGAAGTTGATAGCCAAGCTTGCTAGCTATAGGCTATAGCATTAGAATTTAGAGAATTAAAATGGCAGCCAAGATTCCAGTGAGGTTTCAGAGAGTAGCAGCGGCTTTCGATGCGGTGGCGCGGGCGAGGCTCTGCGAGAGCAGTGGAAGCGAGCACTCGGCGGCGGCAGAGAGCTTTTCGGATTTATCGGCTCTTGTCAACTCTTTCATTGAAAGAGGAGATTTCAGAGGAGAAGGAGATGCCCTTGGAGACAAAAACAATAAGGAGCAGTTGATGGATGAAGAGTCGGAGGGTTATTGGTCTGATTCAGAGACCAAGAATACCCTTCAAAGCCTGCTTGATAAAAGTGAAGAGGATGATGACGATGATGTGAAGCAGAGGATTTTTGGTGAAGTAGAAGTCGCAGTTGGAGGGGCTATTGGGAACAGGTCGTCCCCGGGGTTCAAGCGAAAGTTGATGGCTCATTTGCGCGAGAAGGGTTTCGATGCTGGTGAGTAAAGTTTTCTTCTTTTGATTCCTCTGCTCAGTTCTTGAAAGAAATAGGATTTATTTGACCGAAATCTGTCTTTTAGTTCTCAAAATTTGGAAAACTACCATTCATTCCTTCTTGTCCTTTTTGTTGAAAGATTGCAAATTTAGAAAGTAAAAAACTAGTTCAATTGGTTAAAATTTTGTGAAAGTTCCTTGATGCATTTGAAAAATCCCAATTGGGTTTTCAATTTCTTAAGATGCGCTCTATAAACCCAATTGAAAATTGCTGAGATTGAGATTAATTACTAATTATGTTGTGCTTCCAAATTTTGCAGGCCTGTGCAAATCAAAGTGGGTGAAATCCAGCCGGTTCCCAGCAGGGGACTATGAATTTGTGGATGTCAATGTCAAAGGGACTCGTTACATTGTTGAACCATTCTTCGTGGGAGAATTCGAAATCGCTCGTCCCACGAGTCAATACGAAGCGTTGCTCAGTGTCTTCCCGACGACATTCGTCGGACAAGTTGAGGAGCTGAAGAACATTGTGAGGCTCATGTGCACCGCCATCAAAAAGTCGATGAAGAGCTTGGACATGCCAATGCCACCATGGAGGAGAAATGGGTACATGCAATCCAAATGGTTTGGCTCCTACAAGCGCACAACAAATGCAGTTCCAGCCAAGGAGTTGGAACACAATGAGAGCGTTGGTCTAAAGAGATCAACGGGGTTTGAGGCTTTGACTACAAAGACTTATTATTGCAAAGATGCCTTCGCTAGCAAGAACGGCTTAAGAGTAGGGCATTTAACTGCTGCGTTTGAGGGCATCTGAGCATTCGTTTTGTCATGTTTTTGTTTGGTAATATAAATTTTGAGATGTGATTTTTTTGGCCACCCCCTTGGGTAGTAATTTTGGAAATTCGTTGGAAATTAAGGCTTGGGGATTCGGGCCTTATGGCCGTGTTTGCGAAAAACCATCTGGGTTTTGATTAGAACAATGTCTGTGAAATACCAATATAAGTATATATATATATTTTTGAATAAAATGTAAAATTAATTTGTCTCGTTTGGCTTGGGTCAAGTCATATCAATTTGTCTAGCAGCAGCAGCAGCAGCTCAAAGCCTTCTTCTCATGTTTATGATTCATCAGAATTTCAAGTCCAAAGTGAAATTTGTGATTTGTCTTTGAAATCCCCAAATGCATGACAAAATGAAAATTGAAAAATGTAGGCACCGATAGACGCAAACAGCTGGGAAATCAAAGCAAGTTTGCCTGGAAGGTAACCCAAACGAAAAATTTGTCAATGTAAGAGAAGGTTCTCATGAAAAGGCTAAATCCTATGCCATTTCTCTCATCTCCCCTTCTCATATGACTCATTCGAATTGAAAATACACTAAATTAAGAAGAAGAAAAAATTAAAAAGATTGTTCAATAAGAGAAAATGAAATGTGAGAAGCTCGGTAAGCAGATCCGTCGACAGAGCACAACGACCGGCCAGTAAACTTCTCATGAAATCGATTTAGCTACAGCCGCTGTGGCCAAATTCAAGAACAAGGGTACTGATTTTTGTATCAAACCCTTCTCTTGGTACAAGTAGCTCATACAATCTATAAACTTTCATTTTTGAAAAAACTAAAAGACATGCAGAGTTGAAGATCAGAGAAACAGAGAGAGGGAGAGAGAGAGAGAGAGAGAGAGAGAGAGAGAGTGAAATGAAACGCTAAGCGGCTGAAGAGAATGAGAGAGCAATGTGATACGACTCTCTCAAAACCCTAGGGGCTGCTTTATAATGAATGAATCTCGGATAAATGTTAAGTGGGGTGGAAGACGATTAGATCTCAGCCGCACATCTGTGATATCAAGAATATCTCACGGTGCTACGGATGCAGATGTATTACCACCCAATACAATCGCCACCACTGCGCTGTCAAAATGTATCACTTGGGCTTCAGAATAGCTGTTGAAATCTAGACCGTCCATTTGTGTCAGGCCCATATAAAGTACGGCTTGGAGTTGCTAATCTTTTTCCTTCAATTTTTGTGAAATCCAAAGCCAAGCCCAAGAGTGTTTGGATGATAAGTAGCATATGCTGTCTTTGAAATCTAGACCGTCCATTAGTGTTCTTTTCGATTGATACCAGGAAGACATGGAAAACACTGACCTTCCATAGTATTTGTTGTTGTTGATGTAAGATAATGAACAAGATCACACTGTAAAGAATGTTACACTCGTACAGATGATGCAGCAAACTGAGAGAAAACATAAATATACGCATACACACTCGCCGCGCCATTCTACAAAAAAGATAGCCTGTAGTTTAACAGGAAATCAAGCGCTGACTAATTTACTCATACATGACGAACAGAAATCATGTTAGTCTAAGTTTGGAGCTCTTTCTTAGCCCCCGGCCCTTTCCCTTCTTTTTTGTGTTTATATCTGCATGCATCCAAGTAATAGGACGTTTACATCATCTGGACAAAGCCCTTCAAAAATTAAATCCTACGGTTCTGCTAGCTGTATTCATTGGGATTTTCTTTGCTCCGGATTATAGGAACACCATCCTCCCTCCAAATGACCCGATCTTCACATAATGCTGTTATCACTTCCACATATATGCGATGCTCCTGAATTCAATAATGAAGCCAAACCAGAAAATTATTTGCAACATACCACCAAATCTAAGATGTCAGTATAAAAGAAAAAATGAAAGGGAGGGAGAAAAAGCTTCTTGTGGTCTGTCAGTGGTTCAGACAAATCAACAATTATAAATAAAAGTGTGTCATAAAATTGCATTACCTCCCGAAGAACCCTTGCTGCCAGCTCCTCCGCAGTGTCCTTGGCAAGCACAGGGACAACTCTTTGAGCAAGGATACGTCCCGTGTCGTAGTGCTCATCAACAAAATGTATTGTAGGGCCTGTGTATCTGACCAAAATGAAAGAAACATAATATTAGGTCTCCTCCTCATACATGGAAACAGCACAGTGTTACTTGAATAAGCGAAGTTAGATTCAGAAGCTATTGAGTTTTGGCAATAGTAGCATACCTTGCTCCAGTAGCAATGACCGCTTTGTGGACCTTCATCCCATAATTACCTTTGCCTCCAAATGCTGGAAGAAGTGAGGGATGGATGTTCAGTATGGATCTGGGATAAGCTTGTATCAACTCTGCTGGTATAAGTTTTAGGTAACCAGCCAGGAGAACAAAGTCAACCTCAAAACTCCTGATTATGTAAGACATCAAAAGTTAATAAGCCACAAAACAATGCTTATAAAAATATTCACAGATAATTTATGCCATGTTAGCTTAAAAAAATTACAGCTCAATTTGGCCTATATATTTAGGCTTATGAAACATGAGAGAACATATAAAAAGCAGGTACATTTAACCTGTGCTACGGTCATAGAAGAGATGGCAACTTTAGCGATCAAAATAAGTTGTGTTAAAGTGCAGGCAACACTCAATGTTATTTAGAATCTTTCCAATATGTGAAGATGCTGAATTAGATTCAAATAATTTCCCAGTGTTGGACTAGATATTTTGATGGCAGTGCTTATACAACAATGAGTTAATATATAAGACACTCCTCCGGGCTTAACAAAAATGTGAAAGAGCCTCACCTAAGGGTAGCAACAAGGTCAGCTGGAGATATTCCATCAGCCTCAAGTTTTGTTTTGGGGAACAATATAACTGGGAGGCCCTTATCTCTTGCATAGTCAGCACCTCCGCAACCTGAATACACAACATTTGTATCAAAGATTTATACAATATATTTCTGAAGTCGCTAATTTGCTTTCTGTTTTCACCACATTCTCATTAGAAGAAAGAAATCAATGAGGACCTTTCCTCTATAAGCATAAAATACTATTATATCTCAAATTGGTGTTTATCCAAGTTGCTAGATCAATATCAACACGAAAACCAATTTCAAACAATTTATAACAGATTTGGAGAGTGGAGGAGACCTTGTTTACTTGTGACAACAACAACAATGTCTCCATGAATTGAACCCCGAAGACATGCTTCATGAATGGACCGGAAGTTGGAGCCTCCACCGGAAACGAAAACCGCAAGCTTTTTCCGTCTAATCCCACTTCTCAAATCTTCTTTATCAGAAGCAAGGAACTCAATTCTCTCTCCACTGTTCCTACACTGAAATACCTTCCCAGACAATGCACTTTGTGAAATAGAAGGGCAAGCTTTGAAGGAGACCCATTTTTGGGATTGAGCAAAAGAAGCAGAAGAAGAAGAAGAAGAGGAAAGGGGAAATTTTACAAAGACTTGGGTTTTGGTATTTTGAATCGGTGGGGTTGAGCAAAACCCAGAAATCAGACGCTGAGCTTCCATTGACAGGATGAGAGGGAATGCTGCAATTAATGGAATAACTGAATACAATGAAAAACGGAATCTTTGGAGCCAAAAGACTTGCACAAATGTCCTAGAAGAAGCCAAAGAGTTTAAATGTTAAAAAAGGCTTTGATTTTGCAAGCGACTGCCAGTGCCTGCCTTCTCTTTTCGCCGCTCGATCGAAGCAGGGGAGAGGCTGGCTCTGCTAGCCTTTCTTCCTTTTTTAATTTTCATTTTAATTTGTCTTTTTTCCTTTAACGTTCTGGCATCTTGGCAAGGCCAGTTACTGAATAATGGCCCAGCCCATTCTGGAGCCTCGCATTTTTTTTTGGGCTTGTTCTTGACGGATGCTAGAGGTCCAGTCAAATGCTTACTGACAGAAGTACATATCCGATTCTTCATTGTTTTTCTAGTTAAGGGTCGCATACTAAACATATTTTCTCAATTATTTTTATCGATTGTAATGTAGGGGAGGGGGAGGAAGTTCGAACTCGGATGGAACAGGGCGGACATACTACTTTAGCCAATTGACCTAACTCAAATTCAATTTGAAGTATGTTTTTAGACGCCAAATATCCCCATATTAAAAACACAGCTCAAATTTTTTAATATTCGGATTGCGTCATACTACTCCACAATTCAAGTGTTTTGAATACCGGATCAAATACCCTATTTGTTAATTTAGTTTTCTCAAGACAAGTACACAATTAAGTAAATAATTATTTTATTGTTTCCAATGATTGGTGAATGAAAGTGGAAACAAGAGAAAGGCCAAGTCCCAATCTGGTGAAGAGTCCACGTAAACGGCCCTGATTTAGCATCACGCGAGTAACAGTGTATGAGCACCATCCAATCCTACCCAGACACGGAAACCATAAATACACCAAAACGCACACCCACCCTTCTTTAGAGAGAGAAAGTGAGAAACAAAGCAAGAAAGATACAAAGAAACAAAGAATTTATATAGAAAAATCTTTTTAATTTTTTAAATTTCATCACGGATCGGACGCCCACCGAGTCGCCAGCGCAGAATCGGAGATCCATCAGCAAGATGGAGGGAGTTGGGGCCCGACTCGGGCGGTCCTCGACCCGGTACGGACCAGCCACGGTGTTCACTGGGCCGGTGAGGAAGTGGAAGAAGAAGTGGGTCCACGTAGCACCATCCTCTAACACCAACAACGCTAGTTCTACCACCCATCACTCTCATCAGATTAACGGCCACAACGGTACCTCTAACGGTAATAACGGCTCGCATCTCTTGCTTTACAAGTGGACCCCAATTACCCAAAGCCAAAACACAGCCATTAGCAACAATAATAACGCAGTCACCAATGGCAATGGGGGGGACAAGGTTTCTGCAAAGGACGGCGATGCATTGGCGGCTAACGAGGAGCCGCCTCGCCGAAAATTTAAATACATTCCGGTAATTTTCTGCGATTTTACTTATTTTATTAAATTTTTTTTAATTCTCTTGGAATTCTTGGATTTGGGGCTGATTATTGTCTGGGTGTTTTTTTTTTTAGTCGTTTAATGAAAGCATTGTGGGTGATTGAGTTGAATTCTTTATATGTTTTCTTGGGGTTAATAGTAATTTAGGGTTTGGTTTCAGGATCTTTGGAAAGGTGGTCTTTTTGGGTTGATTAGACACATGGGAAATTATGGGTTTATGTTTGCTTTTAATGTCTTTGGGGGCTGAGAAGTGAGGATCTCGTGATTTGCATTAATGTTTGTCCTTGAGTTTAAAAAGGAATGATAGGTTATAGTGACTATTGGTTATACTCAATTTTACAATTTGAATTTGAGTTCTTAGTCAAGTTAAAGTGGTGGCTTAGCTTAGCTTGTAATTTGTGAAGGAACTGTTTGAAGTTTTGCTACCAATACAACAGAGTTGTTATTGCATTTTGTTTGTGTATATTTTTTAATGTTCACACTCATGTTGTGAGTCATACTTACCGCAGCTCACGATCATCCATTTAAAACTGAGAAAGAATTAGCTCATTAGAGAGTTTTGTGTTAGTAGTAGTATGATTGAGGAGAAGTGGGAAATTGTGGTTTTCACGTTATGAATTTCTTGAGTTGATTTATGATTAGTGATTTTGTAATTCTAGTATAGGACGCAAAGGTTACTTTTAATATATGAGACGAGCTACTCTGGACGAATTTATATGACATTAAGCTGAATGTTGTTTTAGTAATAAATGATTTTAGTACTTTGATAAAAGATAAGATGTTAAAGGTTGTAGTGATTACAAAATGCAGTTAGCATTCTCACAAAGTTGATATTGAATCTCCATTATCAAGAGGGGGTTTTTGGGGTTTACTTTGATATTTTATACTCTAGAGAATGCTCTACTGCTTATTATCAATTTTCCTTTTGTGGTTCCTTTTGGCATCTTGCCGAACTTTAGTGTATGGGAAAGAATTTCCAGCCATTCCTAAGTGGTCAGTGGCAAAATAACTTTGGTAAAAGCAGTGATGAAGTTTTGATTACTACACATTGATAAGGATGTAGTTATGGAGCAATGTGATAATCAAAAGCTTACACGTCTACAGTTCTTATTTCTACGATTTGTTATGTTAAGATCTAGATTTATCTCTGCAGATAAGTAAGACTCAGAGAAAACGTTGACATGTGAATGCCCTTTTGGTGTTCCTGGGAATCTCTTATTTTCCCAGAATCTGCCTTAGTGCTTGCTTGACTGAATCCTAATTATAGGAGCCAGCTATGTTTATAAAATTGGTAGTGTTTGTCCTCGTTGGAAATTGGTGTCATGATCTTATTCCTATGGTGAGCTTCTGGAGGGAAAAGAGGTGGTTTACTTACACTGGATAGTTAGGAAAGCACTTGTGTAGGGAGGTACCATGAAGTAGTCAAACTTGAGTTTGTGATGTTGTGTACTTGTGCTTGGAGCAAGTATAACAGTTGAAAACAACAACATAGAGGTTCTCTATGCTATTCGTGTGCTCTAGTGGATTATTGGAGGAACGTATGTTTTACAAAGGATGACTCTTATGATCGTAATGGAATTGAGTTCATTGTGCTGTAACCATTCCCCAGGTCCCCAGGTCACCACCATAACATCACTAGACTAGTTTTCCAAGATTGGAATGTGGTTAACTGGATAGAATCATTTCGACTTTCTTAATTATTTTGTGTGATTTCGTTGGGGTTTCTGTTAAATGATAACTTTGGCCATTTGACAAAGCAGATTGCTTTACTGGAAGAACAGCAACTTGAGGCTGCAGAACAGGTTGAAGATGAATCTAACTCTATTGATAATGAGCCAACTGAAACAGAGGCCACTCCCAAGAATGAGGTTTTAGATGAGAAACCTGACATTAATGACATTCCTATGGAAGAAAATGAGGTAAAATGTTTGTAACTATTTTTATGCTTATGTTGTTTCCTACGATTTCTTGCTTAATGGAGACAACATGCTTATTATGTGCATTGATGTATATGGAAAACCTAAATTGACTGATGAATATGGACATTTTTGGGAAGGAGGAAAACTTGATGGTTAGGTTTTCTGTATAAAAGGTGAACTATTATCAGTCTATATGGGCACTGGACTTTTCTGGTGGAGGGATTCCATTTAATTGTCGTTCTTTGTATAGGAAATTGAGGAAAGCAGATTGTTAGTAGAATTCCAAGATAAATCAAATGGGTTTGATTTCATTTTTTATTGACTATTTTGGTTTCATTCTCAGGACAATAATCAGGTAGTATGCCAAGATCTGAATGAAAGCACTTTGGATTTAAGTTTGGGCTTGAATGCGCATGAAGGTGATAATGGTTCTGCTCTAAATACTGAACAAACCAGAAATGGTTAGTTGCAAAAGTAGTTTCAGGTATTGGTGAGCCTATGATTGGAGGTCTTTGAAAAACGGCACTCATAAACTCAAAAGGAGCAGCTAATTTGTTGGTGTCTAATTCTGAAATCAGTTTTCCCTTTGGCTTTATATTTTACCTATGGCCATATAGGGGAAGTGAATTTCAGTGGCATACGCATGTACTACTAGTCTTCATTTGATGTTTCATTGTTTAGCCGATTGCAAATTGCACCCATTCGTTATAAGATGCAAAACTTATACTTTCAACATTGAAATGATTGAATTTTTTTCCGCGGCCATTTTTGTTTACATTTGAGACGGGAGATATTGTACTTGGAAATTGTAGTGGGATTTTAAACTTTTGAATTATTAAACAAGAACTATGGTAAAGTTTAGTCCTACAATGCTTTAGTTCCTTGATTACACCAGTTGAAATGTCTTGCTATGTCGTTTTGGGCGTGTTTATGCTAATTATAATAGTTGGCATGTTAACAGAGATGTACCACCAGTTTAACTTTGACGCAATTTCAGTGGCATGCTCTTCTATACGGCCAGCCTCTCAAGCTCCTTCCCTTTCTTACACGCTCTTTATGCTTCCGCAGACCTTCTTTCTCCTTTCAGAATTTTATACTTCTTCTCATCCAAAGCTTGCTGACGCAACTCCTCAGGAGAAGCAGATCCATCACCACTCTGTAAATGATTAGGCTCACCAACAGAAAGGCTTCAATGGATTTCTCCCACCCCATAAAGACTTCAATGGATTCCCTACTACTGCCCCTCTGCATACTAGCAACCACATTACTGTTAAGACTCTTCTCCTGATTCCTTCCTCAGGTTTTGATGTCAACTTCAAACTGCCTGCACAGAAAGTTAGAGGCTTGATACAGAAGGAACCATCAAAGGGTAGAGTAATTCAATCTTTTTCTGTCTGCCATTAAAATGATGCAAGTGCAACAAAATCTATCTATACCATAATTCAGCAAAAAAGCATGTGGCAGAATCAAAAAACTAGCAAAACTGGTGACAATAAATCCCCAATACATTCTTAAACTAAATAATCATGAAATAGTACGGCCTATACTCTTTAAATATATCCGGGTATTTAAATAGTACCGCTCGGCGATACTCTAAATATATTCGGATATTTTAATAGTATAGCCGGGCGGCCGTACTATTTCAATATATTGGGATATTTTAATAGTACAGCCGTGCGGCGAAACTCTCGAAATATATTCGGATATTTTAATAGTACAGCCGGTCGGCTATACTCTCAAAATGTATTAGAATATTTTAATAGTATAGCCGCGCGGCTATACTGTTGAAATATATTCGAATATTTAATAGTATAGCCGGCCGGCTTTACGCTTGAAATATATTCGGATATTTTAA